ACTTCTGACACCAATTTGTTACGTCTCCGTTTGTTAATTGATTTTTTCGTAACTTCGTTCCGACGAAACTTTAACGACACAAGTCTTTACTTAATAAAACTGGTTTATTCTTTCCGAATATAACTTTACGATACATATAATTTCAATATTCGCGCTAAAACAAACACTGTAACGAACGAACGTTAACTTCAACAATACGTCTCTCTCTGACCGCAGTTCAATTACTCATTACCTACACACATTACCGCGTCACGTTGTCACCCTCTTATATATACCAGACTACCCTATCTAGTAAATGCTAGGGCATTCGTGAAGGAACAAGATAGTTCTCGAAACTAGAGGGCGTGAGAAGTCACGTGATCTCGATGACGCAACAATACTGACACTTTATATTTATATAAACAACAGAAACTAGGGTTGGAGTTAAAAAATAAAAATGCTTGCCAATTTTCATCAGCACTTGAACCCCTTTTTTTGTATATAGACTAGCCTAAGCATTGAACTTGCAAAGTTATTCCTAAGTGTCTATCACTGGATGTATATGACTTAACTTACTAAATAATGCAACTAATTAAATATAATGTCGTAAACTTATAAAGAATTGAATGCATTTATTCATCACTCAGTACACATGCTGTTATCAATAATTTTAACCATCATAAGACATTGATGATAGAGAAAATAAAAGAGTTAGTTGATGTACCCAACAAATACTTAATGACAATGCAGAAAGTAATGATGCTAGTGGTTCTGTTACAACATTGGGTAGAGGGATTTTCATTGATTACCATATTAATAAAGGATTATTTTTTTATATTGATATTAATGTGTAGAATTTTTAATTTTTTTTTGTAGTTTTCTATACATTACTGTTCTTTCCTTGTATAAAAAGGTTTCTTTAGTAGCTTTTTTTTTCCACTATTTTTTGAGTATTTGCACTCTATTTGGTGGAAATTATGTGATAGTATTACCTAAAGTATGTAGACCATATACAAACCATTACACTGTATCACTCTAGTCTATTTTATAGGTATAATATCTATTAGCCACAATGTTCACACAACAGAAAAACTAAAGATACAAAGTGTATCCAACTATGATCATACCTATTCCCATACAACAGTGTTAGTGAAATATATGCAGTCAATTTTCAGTAATAAAGTACCATTAGTTTCAAATGTAAGCTACCGTGCCTTTTAACCCTTCTACAATGGGAGCCCCTTTAAAAGCCTTTTGCGCAAGTCACTGTTGTTACATTCAAAATTGAATTAAAAACCCTTAATATAAATGTATGTGAATGAATTCAATATTATAATGTGGGTTATGATTTTAAGTTTCATTTTATTCAAGTTTTAAGTCTTTTATTATAAAATAAACCCTTAAAAAACTTCTTAAAACTGAGCTATGAAAAATCTCTACTTTGACTCTCTGTATCTTCAATAATACAATGTAATAGAGTAGAGGTACATCTAGCCACTAAGATGCTTACATAACGTTTGACTCCTTCCTTTCAAAGTATTTTGAATGAGTACAGTTAAAACAAGTAACACATTTTTCAACCTCTGACAGCTGCCACACCCACCTTCAACAGTTTTGTTGGAGCTTTATCTCTTCCATGTAGACATTACATATACACATGTATATAACAATTAGAAAGAACGTATTTTACAATATAAACTAACAACAGTTATTTTGAAACTGGCACCAGGCCTTCATCACAGAGAACATGAAATTGACTATAGTATTGCTAGCTACTTGATCAACTATAGCACTTATGGTTATTTATTACCTAAATATGTTATAGTTAATTATGTATTAGTTATGTTTTAAAATGCATAATTAAAAGATTCAAACATTTTTTAAATATACATCATTCTTTGCATCCATCAGAGCTGAGAAAAAGGAGGGCAGCAGTTGGATATTCCAAAGCTCACTAGAAATGCATACTACTTAATGAGCTAAAATGGCTACTGCTTTTTCATATATTCATGAAGAAATCTGTCACCTAAATTTCTATGTTGAAAAATCAGCAAAAGTTAATAAATAGAATGAAGGGGGGGGGGGGTTTGATGATATTACTAACCATGGTGCCTGGGCTGGCTCTTGATGACCCAGATGTATGTCCTCGAGGATTGTAATATTACATGCTGAATGAAAATTTTGATGAAGGGTTGTGCATGTCTCCCAAAGAAATTGTAATATGACTCGAGGGCACTATTGTCTTGTGTCAAGATGAATAATAAGTTGTAAAAACAAGAAAGGAAAATAAAACATTAAAAATTAACTATACATGAACAGGAAAAGAGATGATATTACAAATTTAACAAAAGGAAACTCTTTAAAGATATTCCAAAAAAAATTAAAGGTATGTTTGTTTGTTTTTCTATTTCCTAATTTTAATTATTTCATTGCATTGTACGTGTATAAAGTTAGTGATATGGTATAGAAAATGAAAAATAAAATAAAAAATTTACCTTAGAAAAACTTTTGATATCCTTTTAGGATGTTCTAGAGATTTTGCAAATGAAATATCGAAAGTGTTATATGAAGAAAAGTATTTTTATACTTAAAATGAAAATTACTTTGCACTCAATTTGTTAATAGTTTGAATGCGGGTAACTAAAATAGAAAAATAACATAATTTTAGTAAAAACACTTAATTATAAAACTGTCATTATTTGTGTACAAGATATTTATGTCTTTAATGAAATCTTACCAGTTTTTGAGAGAGAATGTTAAGAAATCTGAGTTACCACATGTATTGTTGTACAAGTGAAATTCACGACTCGATTTCTACAAATTGCATGAGCCTACCACGAAACAGTTAAATACAGCCTGCAAAAACTTTCTACTCAACAACATACAAATGATTTCTTAGAACAGTTTTGTAAACACAGATGCACACTAACTTGTAATAAAGTCCTGTCTGATGTTCCAGTTCTTCAGCAACAGCACAATATATTGTAGTCTGGGCACCTTCTTCTACCGATTTAAAAAAAAGAATTCCAAACACGTAGAACATCCATCCCACACAATAATTCACTGATGTACCCAAGTATCTTCCTAGCTCTGTTTGAACTGCTCCAGGATGGAGCGCATAAGTTGTCACTCCAGTTCCTGTTCAAAGTCAATATGCTGTTGTATGTTTTCTTTCTGATTCTTGATTCTTTCAAGAATTTACATATAACTGAATGTTTAAAGTTAATCTCTGATAAATAACTATGGTACTGATATCATCACTTCTGTATATAATGACAACAATATTGAAACAAAATAACAAGGTCAGTCAAGCAGACTAACAAATATAACTTTCTGTAATAAAAAGAAACAGAATAACAAATACCCACATATCTGAAATAACAAAGATATTGAAATATAAAAATACAAAATCATAATTTTTGCTGAATTTGATACATTTCACACATTTGTGAAAACCAACCCTGTGGATAAAATGGAATAATAATATCTACACGTGCAAGAAAAACAATCATATCTATACCCTATTCACTGATTTAATTTACAGCAGTTACTTCATGTGGATTATGAAAAATTAATTATAACCTAATATTTCTTGCTAGCATCTTTCTTAAAACTTTGTAGCTACTTAACATAAAGTGCTTACATCCTACACTTAACATACTCCTAAAATTTCTCACTCAATACTCCTTCACACTTCGTACTCAGAGCGACACAACCTAAGCGATAATACACATTTTTTATTCAATATACTAACCTTGAAGCCTTTTAGCTAATTCTTTTGTAAAAAGCACATTAGCCAGCTTACTCTGGTAGTAAGCTGTAAAGGGGTTGAAGCAGTTTTCCAAATGAATGTCTTCAAAATGAATTTTCCCTACTGCTTAAAGAAACACAAGTTAATAAATCTTACTTTCAAAAAGAGCCATATAAACTCCTAATATCTAAAAAATAAATATGTAAAACATTTTTATATGAAGCAGAAGAATAATGCACTAATGAAAAAAAAAACTCTGTAAATACTTGAATAGAATTTGGTCAAACATAAATATAAACCTATTGAAATCTTAGTAAAAATCAACTTGAAACAAAATAATGCTTGAGCAGTAAACAGAAAATTCAAGTTACTTAGTACAACCAAATAGTTCTCACAGTAATACAAAATTAAAGCATCACATATGCAGAAAATATAGCTTAGATACTGAAATATTCAACATTTCATCATTATATAGTTTTTATGGTATACAAAAGGCTAGTTTTTGTAAGTACAAAAATAAAGCAAACAACAGTATTTACATATGGTAGTCATGTACTTGTTAATATTTTACTTTTGTATAGCTCATAACAGACCCATTTTTTAAAAATTTAAACTGAATCAAATTAAATAAACAAAAATTTTATTACTCTATTAAGAAGTAATTAAAAAACTGAATATCAGTACGTCTTTCAGGTGATCAGTAAGTGGTAAAACTCTGGTGCAAACACTCATTTTAAACTCTCTTAGTAAACACATTTTAACACCTATAGGTTGACACAACTTATTTTAAAATATTAATGGAAACCTTTTTATTTATCTATGTATTTACTGTTCCACTTTACAAAATTTAGAAAACAGTATTATTTCCACTACTAAAGTTTCACACTCAAAGGTCAAATTGGATACATTTTGACATGTATGCTAATAATTCTACAAAGATATGTGCACTTTTAAGTGCCTTTGCTTAAAGTAAAAATTACAAACAATTCAAGTAGTAAAACTTGAGATATGTGCACTTTTAAGTGCCTTTGCTTAAAGTAAAAATTACAAACAATTCAAGTAGCTAAGCTTGAGATATGCGTACTTTAAAGTGCCTTTGCTTAAAGTAAAAATTACAAACAATTCAAGTAGCTAAACTTGAGATATGTGCATTCTTAAGTGCCTTTATGTAAAGTTGAAACAAGAAACAACTGAAGTAGCTAAACTTCACATATGTGATTCAAATATTTTCATATCATTATAAATGACTGTTAACATACAAGTTTATTTCAAATACCTTATCATAATCAATCTGTTGTCCATTTAGCTTCATCAGTGTAGAAAAATTAAGTCAGTACAAAGGGGAAGATCAAGTGGTGAAAGTAATATATAACTCAGTGGTTTAGTGTTTTAGATTTAAACCTAACACATATATCTACCTGATCTCCACAACAAAAACAAAGATTTGAGGATTTAGTATGCATAAGTACAAGTGAAGTGATTTGTAATGTTGAGGAGAAAGAGACAAGAGGATTTAGTATGCACAAGTACTAGTGAAGTGATTTGTAATGTTGAGGAGAAAAAGACAAGATGTGGTATTAAAGTTTTTAATAGAAATGAAATGATTATTACTAGTAAAAATAAACTGAAGAGTGGATGATCAAAGTGAATTATTTGGCAGTGATAAGAAAAAAAAGTAAAAAGTTAAAAGAATAAATTGTATTGAAGTAAAGGAAATGAAGATATTGTTACGTCTCCGTTTGTTAATTAACTTTCCGTAACTTTGTTCCGACGAAACTTTAGCGACACAAGTCCTTACTTAATAAAACTGGTTTATTCTTTCTGAATATAACTTTACTGATACACTCATTTTCAACAGTCGCTCTATAACAAACGTTTTAACAACAAACGTTAACTTCAACAATACTTCTGACTGCAGTTCAGTTACTCACTACCTACACACATATTCTTGTCACATTGTCATCCTCTTATATATATACCAAACTACCCTATATCTAGTAATCTCCCGACTATTCCCGAAGGTTCGAAAGAAGTGGTGTGACACTAGTCACGTGACCTCACTGATGCAACAATATCGTATAAAAAGCAATACACCCTAAAATTCCATTGGGTTTGCTACTAGCAACATATCACTGCTTTAGTAGTTTGAATGACTTTACCTACCTCTATGCCAAGATCTTTTTATTCAGTCACATTAATAAGTGAGTTCCCATCTATATTAAATATCCAAATTATGATAACCATTCATTTATTATACTTTAACTCAAGGTCTTTTGCTAACAATTTGTTCACCTTAATCAAAGTCATTCTTAGTACCTCAACATCCTCAATACAATTAAACATTTTAATCATATCTCCTTATATACATCGATAACAAAATATTAGTAACTTATCTATTTAAGAAAATCTTCATATTTGTTTTGTTTGAATGTCCTTTTGAGATAAGGGCGCCATGTATATCCTATTTGCATATTCTAAATGTGGATGAACCAAAGCCTTGAATAACTATCTGAATACACTAATGTCCATGTAAGTAAGAAATCTTTGTATAAGGCTTATCCTTATGCCTAAATCCCAAAAAGTTTATAACTGTACTGAATATTTAGTTTCTGAAAATGTTTTAAAGACTAATGAGAAATTATACCAAAAGTCTTTAAAAATTGCCAGTAAAATTCTTGAGAGTTTGATTTAAGTAGCTTTACAAAATCATTTAAAGGTAAATTTGACACCATAAGAGAGAGAGAGCATGGGTTTGCTAAAAGAAAATCTTGTCTAATTATGCTGTTAAGTTTTTTCAATATGTTTCTTGTTATGTTGATGATGATACAAAGGGCGTGGACTTTGTGGACTTGAATTTTTCAAAAGACTTTTTATAAAGTGCTACACAGATGATTTTCTAAAAAAACCACATTGGTAGGGATTTGAGAAATGATTATTTGATTGCATTGAAGGATGGTTGGGTAAGAAAAAACAGAGTTATTTTTAATGAAAGAGTCAAATTACACCTTTGTTACACAGTGGTGTATCTCAGAGGCAAAAGCCTTTGCTTTTTGTTATTTACATTAATGGCATCAATAAGAGCATAATTATTAAATTAGTAAAGTTTCTGATTACATTAAATTCCTGGGGATTTATTTAAATACTGAGGATGTTGAGATATTACAGAATGATATGTATCAAGCTGGAAAAATTAATTAGTAATAGGCCTGTAAATACGGTATAGTAAGTGCAAGGTAATGCATCTGCGTTATCATGACCAAACAAACTTGGTTGGAATTTTGGGAGTAATACAGGACAATCATACATTGATAAATATATGATTTCATACACGTGACTCTATTTAAAGTAAATGTGAAATATTAGTAGATTGTACAACTACTTACTTTTATTTTCTGTTATAATGTATTTTACTAATTATAAATTGATCATTTAATTGCAGTTGCTGATCATGTAAGTATGTCATCTGCATGTTTCTAAAATTATTTCCAATACTGTACATATATATCCAATACATCATATTAAATAATAACATAAGAATTATCATTAATTTGTGTAAAATATTAGTATATTTGTTTTTAACATATTTTACTGAAGTTTTTATAAAGACAGTATCTAATATTCTTAGGAAATGCAGAGTGTCCATAAATTATTGAATCACTTTCTTAATTAAATGAAATAGGAACCACACCAGAACATTTGCAGCTAAAAGTATGTGGGAGACTGATATCTAAACTTTTTTCACACTAGCTTTGATGGGGTATGTGAAAGTCATTGTTTACAAGATGAAGACACCAGATATGGCAACAATGTGTGTCCAAATAACCAATGCAACTGTGATGATTACTACCCTGGACATGCTGAACTGTACATGGATGGAGATTAACTACTGCCTGGACATTCTTCAAGCCAGGAATGATATCTGTGCTAAAGCATACCAATGATATCACTGGCCATGGACAAACATGAAATGTTAGCTTGCATTATAACACAAATGACAACTGTTTGTCATATGAAATTCACATTTTATCCCATTAATAATGTGGTTCAATAATTTATAGACACCGAGTATGTTAGAATTACTGAACAACAGAGGTTAAATTATTATTTTCTCTTAACTATTAATTTTCTTCTAAATACTTTTTACTTACACCTATGAGCCACAGAGGAAACATTAATTATTCTTGCTGGTGCTGATTTCTTAAGACAGTCCAACAAAAGCAATGTTAAAAGAAAGTGACCCAAATGATTCACTCCCAGCTGCATTTCAAATCCATCTTCTGTCTTCCACTGAGGACAGCATGCTACACCTAAAATTAATGACACATTACTCATTACCATTTAAATAATTTCAACTAACAAAGACTTGCAAAATTAGGTTTTACTAGCCACTTATTGATTCACTAGCAGTTACTAATACAGCTATCATTTAGTAATAAATCATTATAACTATTAATAGTCTACCAGATATGTGCAACATTGTCAAAGAATTGTGGATTTATACTTACAAGCAGGAAAATTGGCACAGTTTAAAAATGAAGCCTTCACAAAAAAGGCCTATGTTATCTTTGGTATCCATTTTAAAAGATGTGTGCCAAATATTTTGATGACATTGAAAAATTGGCATTATATTGTTACATATCTGCTTGTTTGTTAATTTCCCATAGAAATTCTTTCCCAGAAACTTCTAGCAATACAAGTCATTTCTTAATTAAAACTAGTTTATTCTTTCTCGATACAACTTTGTAATACACAGA